TTACATTATTTAAATGTTTTTTTTGCTTCTTTGCTTAGTATGCCAGCAAAATCGGTTGCTAAAAACGACCCAACACCGGCTACCAGAAGCATGTTAAAGACCGGAACACATGCCATGACGAAGAGTTCTACGAGATCCATATTCCACTTTGAGGATTCAAATTATGCAATGCTTCTTATCCTGAAATGAATCATAAAATTTGTGTGAAGTACTACTTGATACAAGATTATAATAGGCAAAAGTACTAACCAACATAATCTTTAAGTTTGATGTGAGTATTTGGTTTAATTTACAACATTTTGACGAACTTTTAACCATAGAAAGCTAAGACGGTCTGAGAGATGGTGCATTATCAACAAACAGACCGTACAAAAAAACGAACAAAACAATAATCCTATGTGGAAAGTTGCAAAAGTTCTAATACAAAATACAATAGACCCAAAAGTTTCCTTTATCCAAAAAACTCTCCACTCTCCTAAGTCACAAAATTCAATCAGCTCCCCCACAATCAAGAAAAGAAAGAACACTAAAGCCTTTCAAACGTTGGAGCCATTTTTAAGGTTCCGTTTAGAATTTGAAACCCTATAATTAATAGTTAACTACTAAAAATAGCTGAGGACCTGTCTGGATCCTCAGTTAATAAGTGTAGCTAATGTCTTATCTTCCGCTAGCTAATAATTAGTTGGTTTCTCCTAGCTAACCCATCTAATAATTAGCTGGTAGGTCCAAACTAGGTCTAAATCAAGACCTAATCCTAGATACTATGTCAAACAACTGCGAGCTGTATGCGACTTTAATGCTTCTCCCAGTGTCAATGGAAACATGGTACGGTGCCATGTGCCTCACGATTCCAATGTCCCAGAAACGCGACGCGAAACAATCTCGCTCCCACAATGAAAAATCATCTCTTGAGACGTATCGCGTTCCTTGATCCTATACCACGACCCAATCGTTCCATAAACTTTGTGACTGTGGCTTGTCCCCTCTTAAGGATTCCACCCACGAAGAGTACGAAGAAAAGGTCGGCTACCATCCAAATTCCAAACGGTAGGTTTGCATGCTGTCAACGGCCAATATTGGCCTCGCACCCTGAGGCCGGCATCCAAACGTGTATCTGACAGGCTAAGCGCTGGCTTGCTCTGTGCTTCTTACGAGAAGCGCAAATATTAAAACCAATAAACCGTGAAGTCCATCCAAATCGAGCCGTGGGGTTTCAGTTTAGTATACTGGCTACGCTACCTACCTGCGTTTAACAGCACACTGGTCCAGAGAGACGCCCACATTGGATCCCGCAAAGGCTGTAGAAAATCCCGTTGATTGAACTTTCGCTCGAAAAATCAAGCTGAAAAACTGGTGTGAGAGAGAAACATCATTCATTCGCTGAAAAAATATGATTGATAAGACAAGCGAGCTTCACAGTACGAGATTAATTTCAACAACCTAGCGGGGATCCTCTGGACCTGCTGAACATAGCTGGGATCCTTTGGACCAGCTGATCCTGATAGAGGAGGGAAAATGCGATGCGAGCGCTCATATAACACGCTCAAGAACAGCGTCAGACTTCATAACGCGATCCAGGACGTACCTCAACAGCCGCGCCGAGCTAGACGATGTCCAATGGGGAGAAGGGCGAAGGGGAGCGCTGCCTCTCCCTCTCCGGCGCTCCCACTCTTCTGATCGGAATTGCGCTGCCCGGACCACGAGTCCACGAAGCTGTGATCGAGATATAAAGCTGGTAGCGGCCGCGGCGGTGGGCCAATACGCGATTGCCTGCGGCGGGCTGGCTGGTTCCGTGGCCGCCTTTGGCCCTTTGCCTCGGTGTCGCTCGTCACTTACCTGCGTCACGGCGTGCAGCGTGCTCGAACTCTGAATTTTCTTGCTCCTCTCCTATTGCGGCCTGGCGGGTTTTGTTTGCGGTGGGTCAATTTGACTGCCCGCAGAACGTGGGGCGTGCGCCATCGAACATCGTCATCGTGCATGTATTCACGTACGTTGCCGGTTAGAGATTTGTTTATTTATTTTTAACAAACCAACCTCTCATAAATAAAACAATCAAGCAAAAGGAGACAAACCCTCGTCTCACACAACAAGCTAAGAGCAAAGCCTGTTACCTATGTCAGTCTATGTGCATGACGAAGAGCTGATCATCTTCAACAGTGCTCTGCAGCATATAACATACCCACCTCAATCTTGGTCTAATACCATTCTCGTTTGAAAATGATGAACCAAATGCGAGTCTAATATATATAGCCCTGAAAATGATGATCAAATAGGAATATAGTATCCTTTTTTAACAACCCTATTTTGGTTCAACCAGATAGACACAATGGATTAGAACATGTGTGTCCCGTGTGAAACAAGCACAACTTCAACCACTCTCGAAATGGAGTGTACCACATGATTGTTAAAGAACATGTGTTGAGTTTTGAGTGGCCTATTTGCTACTCACTAGGTTCCAAATTTAGTTCATCCTACGTCTAACTTCCCTAATTTTGAACAAATTTACCTCTAAAAAAATTTGAATTGTTTATGTAAAAATACATTAATATGTATAATGTAAGATTAGTTTCATTAAATTATTCACTAACTATATCTTGATAGTCTCTCATGGGATGTTTATAGAATACATAAACTTAAGATCCACAAATATATATATATATGGCAGTATCGAATTATATTATAATCTTAAACATCTCTCCCTAGTATCGGCTTCCGATAGTAGTAAAGGACGGAGGGCCAAAACAATCGATTTTTTGACTAGAGATATGTCTATGTGTTGCACTGGGGTTACGATTTTGTTTACTTAATCTCAGTAATTGAACCTAGACACGTGAGATTTGAGGACTATGTATCGGAAGCGGACATGTGGATCCGATCTTTGTAAACCGGATAGGATGTGTGAGCTCGGAGTGGAAGATGGTTCGTATCGGACATAGACGCATGAGCATGGATTGAAATTTGGTATCACCGGAAAGATGATGACTTTAGAGCCTTTTAAGGTGTAGTAGATATAAGATATAATATATATATAATATATAGAGATTGAGGAAGGATCAATGTTTTTGTGTTCTCTCCTCATTCTTGTACCCTTGCCAACTCACCTCGTCCTTGTGCCCTCGCCAGTAGAGCCCCTGGGCCCTGGCTGTCTCACTCCAACTTTCATTTTGTTAGAGGAGAATGTCGTGGGCTGGAATTACTAAAATGCAAAGCCCAGTCCATTTCATGCTGGGCCAATATGGGCTTCACGAGCCACGCTCTGGAATGTTCTAGTAACCACCAGTGTCACAAATCAGGACCGTCCGATTGGAAACTAGCAGCCGGATGAAGCTTCATTTATAGACCTTATATGCGCTTCTAGACGCGATTCGAAGCCATCCACCAAATCCAGAGGGTCCGTACTCATTTGCTTCCCCTCCGGGCTCCGGCTACGGCGGCGCTGCTCTCTGGTATGTTAACTGGTAAACCTCCTCTCCCTTATCTGTGGCGCGGCGTATTCGAGATGTCTGGTTGTACGTGCGTATTGGGTTTAGGATCGGATTGCGCTTGCTGCGATATTTGGCCCTGTTCGCCTTAAAACCGGTTTATTTGGGTTTTTTTTTTAAGTCGAAATAGTATTTTTTTCTCATAACAATTTAGCCAGAACAGTATTTTTCAGCTAGTTTCAACTAAGTTTCAACAAGCCGAATGGAGGCTAGTTTCCCCGTGGATTGATACTTTCTCTGTCAATTCTTATCAGGACGGAAGATGCTGGGTCTCGAGGGTTTTATACGTGTGCCATTGTAAAAGTTGATAATTATCTATATATATCATTAAAAAAGTTGAGTTCTTATAGGTGCTATTGAACTCTTTTACCCTTTACGTCACTTCCGTCACATTTGCTTCTAACGGTGTCAAACCGCGGTCGTGAAAAGTTCAAAATACCATCAGGTCTGAATATGTAATTAATTTTTTTGGGTATCTTAATGACCTAAAATAAAAAAACCCAAAACTAGAAAGTTATAGATCTCGACAATATTTATAATATTTATATAAAAATTATCTTCATTTAATTGTGTAAAAAAATAATTTGATATTATTAATGTCTTAGAAAAATTACATTTTTTTTTGTACGGAATCAAATAAAGATAATTTTTATAAAAATATTGTAGATCTCGACAAGATCTACAATTTTCTAGTTTTGAGTTATTTCATTTGAGATGGTGGGCCTGGTGCAAGCGGTAGAGTCTTACCGCCTGTGACCGGAAGGTTCTGGATTCGAGTCGTGGTCTCCTCGCATTGCACAGGTGAGGATAAGGCTTGCCACTGACACCTTTCCCCAGACTCCGGATAGAGCGGGAGCTCTCTGCATTGGATACGTCTTTTTATGATGTAAAATATCTAATTGCATATTTAGATCTAAGGGTAATTTTGACTTTTCACACCCGCAGTTTGATACCGTTAGAGCCAAATCTGATAGAAGTGATGTGGAGGGTAAAAGAGTTCAGAGCAGTGACACCTGTGAAAACTCAACTTTTTTAATGATTTATGAATAATTATTAATTTTTATAATGGCACGTGAGTAAAAGCCTCTCGGATCTTCCGCTGCGCATCGACTTTTAAAGGATACAGATAGTTTTATTTACGTCAAATTTCTTTTACTCGCTGTAGTTGTGTGCATTAATTAATTAATTAATTCCGCCTGGATTTAAGTTTTATTTACGTCAAATTTCTTTTACTCGCTGTAGTTCTGTGCATGAATTAATTAATTAATTTCGCCTGGATTTAAGCTGCTGCTATTTTGAAGGTTTCTTCTCCGGGAAAATTTCAGATTCCGGAAACGACTGGAATTGAAGTAGCCACTGATGCTGTTATCTAGCGAGTTCTTGGGCTCATAAGTTGTTAGACTTGTTGTTATTTGTTTGTTATTAATCCTAGCTGTTGCATATTGTGTGCCTGACCACAGAAATCTCTAGGCGACGAATCGAATCGAGTCGAGCAGGTAGTGGAGGAATCAGGCATCCATGGCTGAGCATCTTGCGTCCATCTTTGGCACGGAGAAGGACCGCGTGAACTGCCCCTTCTACTTCAAGATCGGCGCGTGCCGCCACGGCGACCGGTGCTCGCGCCTGCACAACAAGCCGTCCATCTACCCGACGCTGCTGCTGTGCAACATGTACCAGCGGCCGGACATGATCACCCCGGGCGTGGACGCGCAGGGCAACCCTATCGACCCGGAGCGGATCCAGGAGTACTTCGAGGACTTCTACGAGGACATCTTCGAGGAACTGAGCAAGCACGGCGAGATCGAGAGCCTCCACGTGTGCGACAACCTCGCGGACCACATGATCGGGAACGTGTACGTGCAGTTCCGCGAGGAGGAGCAGGCGGCCCGCGCCCTGCAGGCGCTGCAGGGCAGCTACTACTCGGGCCGCCCCATCATCGCCGAGTTCTCGCCGGTGACGGACTTCCGGGAGGCCACCTGCCGCCAGTTCGAGGAGCACAGCTGCAACCGCGGCGGCTACTGCAACTTCATGCACGTCAAGCAGGTCGGCCGGGACCTGCGGTCGAAGCTGTTCGGCCACCTGCATCGCTCCCACCGGAGCCACAGCCGGGGCAGCCGCAGCCCGAGCCCGTACCGCCGCCGCGGTAGCTCGTCCAGGTCCAGGGACCGCGACGATGACCACGACTATTACTACTACCACTACCGGAGCGGCAGTGGCAGCCGCAGGAGCAGCGAGAGACACCGCAGCCACGACAGCGACGGGAGCCGCCGTCGTCGCGGGCGGTCGAGGAGCCGGAGCAGGAGCCCGGTGAGGGAAGGCAGCGAGGAGAGGAGGGCAAAGATTGAGCAGTGGAACCGCGAGCGGGAGGCAGCGCAGGTGTAATTGGTTCTCCTGTGAGTCTGCCGTCTGCAGCCTGCAGGTTGCCGCAGTGTTGTTGCCTTGTTGGTATTGCTAGTTTGCCAAGTTGCTGAATCTGTCGTCAGGTCGTAAATTGAATTTAAAAATTGAATATGACCTCTTCTGCTGTGGACTAGCTGGTTTTTATTCAACTTTTGATTTGGATGTGCTGACGAAATCTAAGTTGTTGTGAGTAACTTGCTCTGATGGTCAAGTGGCGCCTAATGGTTGCATTGAGCTTGTGTCCAAACAAAGAAAGAAAAAGAATCGAAGCATCTTTGATGATCTCCAAAGATCGCATGGAGAAGGATTTTCAGACAAATTTCTTCTCACAGCACAGTGAGAATCGTACTTGTCCTCTGTGTTCTGAAAATAATCTCCTTAATGTTTGTCTATGATTTTGGGAGTATGGTGGTTTTGCCTGTCAATAGATAATCGTCGTTGTGTTGGCGTCCATGAGCCATGATTATTTTTACTTTTGAGATATCGAGTCAACGTTTATGACATTTTAAAGTAGAAGTAATCTCTAAAAGGTGTAGTTCACGCAACATATTTGACAAAACTTGTTACTAGTAAATGGATACTCTTTTTGGGTTGGGAAACAGCAAATCTATTTAAGATTACAGTCAGCCACAAGATCGCAATACCTTTTAACTCGCGGCTTAGAAGGGGCTCAGGAGAGACAAACCAGCCAGGCGTTGGGGATGGCGGGAAGGCGGCGTTAGCGTTCTAGCAACGGACAAGGCGGGCGGGAGGGCGAGGGAAGGAGTCAGCGCAAGATCTCGTCGGAGCCCATGGCCAAGGCCCTACCGCGGGCGGTGGGCGTTGGCGGGCGAGGGGAGGAAGAAGAGGGAAGACAAAAAAATCTAGTGTTCCGCTCGAGCGAGGCATAGATAGTCCTTTAATCATTAGAAATATTCGATTTGATCTCGTCGGTGGGCGTTGAGCGGCAGGGCTTTGCACCATCGGCGGGTCCAATCGATCGCGGCCAAGCGAGGAGGGAGGAGGAAGAAGATGGGGAAGACAAAAAAAAATCTAGTGTTCGGACGCTCGAGCGAGGCATAGATAGACTCCTTTAATCGTTAGAAATATTCGGATTTGGATCAGCGTCAATGCAACACATTTTTTTTTTCTTCGTGAATGTAAAGTTTGGTAGTGTCATTGAATCTGACTTTGGATGTGCTGATGGAACATAAAAGCTGGTTATCTTCCTTGATACAACCTGCGAGTGCCAGTGGGCATTTTGAGGCGTCTACCATTTTGATATATATTTTCTTACGAGAGCTGGCCCGTTGTTCTTGTGTAACAAAAATACCCCATTGTGCCGTGCAGAGATCCTCTGTTACTGTTATTTAATTAGAGACGACTTGGTCATTATGAGAGAAAGATACGCCAATGGAAGGATCCACATTGTGTTAGCCGAGGTCACTTGTGCTTTTAGCCTGCTGCCAACAACCAGGTCCGATTGTCCGAAGGACATATATATGAGCCGAAGGCCGAAGCAGGCAGACATCGTCTGCTGCATCTGCCATGGACTGCTTGTCACGGCTCCTCCTCATCTCATTCCTTCCGTCCGTGTGGGCGGTCGCCGTCGCCACCGCGGCACGGCGGAGCCCCGGCTGCGCAACGAGGTGCGGCGACATGGACGTCCCGTACCCGTTCGGCCTGGACCCGCAGTGCGCCATCCACGACGGCTTCCAGCTCAACTGCACCACCGTCGGCCGCGCCACCAAGCTGTTGTACCTAGACGTGGAGGTGACGAAGATCTCCGTGCAGGACGGCAAGGCCTGGCTCATGACTCTGATCTCTCGGCAGTGCTACAACCAGACCACGAACGACATGTCCTATGACAACGCGTGGGTCAACGCTACCGACACGCCCTACGTGCTATCGGCAGACGACAACAAGATCATCGTCCTCGGGTGCAATAGCATGGCCTACATGCAGAGCGACTCTGTAAGTATACTCAATTGACAGACATTACCTGCAGGTGTTCTTCATTCGGTGTTCTCTGTCTGAGGATATATACATGTATATATATATATGTGTATGCAGTACGTAATCGGCTGCATGTCCACATGCGACGACCCACCCAAGAACGGCTCATGCTCCGGCACCGCAGGCTGCTGTGAGGCGGAGCTCCCGAGAGGGGTCCGGTATTACCAAGGCTTCTTCAACGAGCTATACAACACCACTCGGATATGGAGGAAGGCCCCCTGCAACTATATCACCGTGATGGAGAGCGCGGCCTTCAACTTCAGCACCACCTACCTCACCTCGACGGCGTTCTACGACGCGGACGACTCGAGGACCCCGGTGGTGATGGAGTGGGGGATTGCACGGCAGACGTGTGAAGAAGCCAAGGCCAACGAGACTGCGTATGCGTGTGTCAGCGACCATAGCGACTGTGTCTATAGTGATGCCGCCGGCTACCGCTGTAGGTGCTCCAGCGGATTCGAAGGCAACCCTTACATCCTAGATGGATGCACAGGTTCGTTCCTTCCTCTTGCCCAGGGCCGCCCATTGTTTGTCATCCATGTCTTCTCGTTCTCATGTAGTGATTTCAAACGATGCAATCTTTTGTGCGATTTCATCAGATATTAACGAGTGCTTGGACAATGCTACTTACCCCTGCGCTGGAATATGCGAAAATACACTCGGGGATTTCACATGTTCATGCCCACGAGGAAGAAACATGATCAATGGCGTTTGCGTCAAAAGTCAGAGGTCAACCTGGATGGTGCCGGTTGTTGGTACGTCGCTGGAGAATAAAGCTGCATTAGGAAATTCCCTGCTCCTGCTGGGGGCCTGGCAGTTGTTTTTCTACTAATAAACATTTTTTTGAAACAATTACTAATAAATATTCTAGTGCTTATTTTTCCGGGAGTTAACAAAAGGCGTCAGTCTGAACCTTCATTTCGAATCCTGATGCTGCAGGTGCAAGTGTTGGACTCGCGACTCTTGTGATCGGAATCACTTGCGCGTACCTGGTCCGAGAACGGCGAAAGCTGCACCGCATCAAGCAGAGGTATTTCCGACGGCACGGCGGTCTGCTTCTATTCGAGGAGATGAAATCACAGCACAACCAGGGCGCCGCCGCGTTCACGATCTTCTCCGAAGAGGAACTGCAGCAAGCCACGGCCAATTTCGACGGGCAGCGAGTCCTCGGCCACGGAGGCCACGGAACCGTCTACAAGGGAGTCCTGAATAAGAGCGGCACCGAGATCGCCGTGAAGCGGTGCATGACGATCGACGAGCAGCAGAAGAAAGAGTTCGGCAAGGAGATGCTCATCCTGTCCCAGATCAACCACAGGAACATCGTGAAGCTCCTCGGCTGCTGCCTCGAGGTCGAGGTCCCCATGCTCGTCTACGAGTTCATCCCGAACGGCACGCTGTTCGATCTCATCCACGGCGACCACCACAGGCAGCAGCACGTCTCGCTGGACACTCGCCTGAGGATCGCCTACGAGTCTGCCGAGGCACTGGCCTACCTCCATTCCTGCGCATCGCCGCCGATCCTCCACGGCGACGTCAAGTCGACCAACATCCTCCTTGACGGCGACTACACGGCCAAAGTCTCCGATTTTGGCGCGTCCATCCTGGCGCCGAATGACAAGTCACAGTTTGTCACGGTTGTCCAAGGGACGTGCGGGTACCTTGATCCGGAGTACATGCAGACATACGAGTTGACAGACAAGAGCGACGTGTACAGCTTCGGAGTTGTTCTCCTGGAGTTGCTCACGGGCAAGAAGGCGTTCAACCTGGAAGGGCCTGAGAAGGACAGGAGTCTGTCGATGAGGTTTCTGTATGCGATGAAGGAAAACAAGCTTGAGGATATCGTGGATGATCAGATCAAGAACAGTGAGAACATCGAGTATCTCGAGGAGATTGCAGAGTTAGCGAGGCGGTGCTTAGAGATGAGTGGTGTGAATAGGCCAACTATGAAGGAAGTTGCAGATAGGCTTGATAGGTTGAGGAAGATCATGCAACATCCATGGGCACATGAGAATCCTGAAGAATTGGACAAGTTGCTTGGAGAGCCGTCTACAGCCAACTCGACTGCTACTACTGGGAATTTCAGCATCACAAAGAGAGCTGCCATAGGCTTGGAATCAGGGCGTTAGCTAGCCACTGTAAATAATATCACATTCCATTACCACATACCATATAACAGATAGGTACAGCACATTTTTCTTGGTTGTACAATGATTTCGTAGGATTTATATGTTATGCTACTGTTACATTATCTTTCTCTGGGACTTTGTTGCTCATACGAAGCCATGGATAACTGCGGTGTCCAGTTCATAAGCATTGGTGCAATTTGTAAGTCGAAATAACTGGACTAGCAAAAGTATATTAACCAGACAAACATTCCTAGTCCTATTGATGGCATAATCAAGATCAACAAACAAGAGCAGCAGTTGACAAAGTTCAAAGAACGTATGAGTATAAGTAAATGGCTCAATTAACTTATGAGTTTGTTCCGCTAACAATTTATCCGTGACCCAAAATTTGACAACAAAAATTACAATTCTCTCAACCCTCACAGAAAACTAAGAAACCGGAGGCTGGTAAGATTACTTCCTAAATGGGGACATGCAAAATAGAGACTTGATGAAGGTTCAACCTACATCTTGGCTTCCTTTGCGTCCTGGTACTCAGCTTCTGGAGTCTGGTCTCCACCACTACTGCTGCCGCTGCTGCCAGTGCTGCCACCACCACCTTGTTGCATGTGCTCTCCAATCTTTGACACAGCCTTGTTTGCTGCTTCCAGCTTCTGCTTGATCTTCTCCAGATCGTCCTCAGCCATAGCTGCCCTCAGATCAGAGACAGCAGACTCGATCTCCTTGGTGACTTCAGCAGGGACCTTGTCCTTGTACTCGCTGACACTCTTCTCAATGCTGTAGATCGTGGTATCTGCAGAGTTCTTAAGATCAATAAGAGACTTCCTTTCCTGATCCTTCTGAGCATGTAGCTCAGCCTCCTTCACCATCTTATCAATTTCAACCTCTGACAAACCTCCAGAAGACTTGATGGTGATTTCTTGTTCTTTGCCTGTGGCTTTGTCCTTAGCTGACACCTTCACAATGCCATTGGCATCAATGTCAAAGGTAACCTCTATCTGGGGCATGCCCCTTGGAGCTGGTGGAATGCCTTCAAGCTGGAATTCGCCAAGGAGCTTGTTATCTGCAGCCATCTCCCTCTCACCCTGAAGCACCTTGACTCCAACCTGTGTCTGGTTATCTGCAGCAGTAGAGAAGACCTGGCTCTTCTTGGTTGGAATTGTGGTGTTCCTGTTTATTAGCCTTGTAAAGATGCCACCAAGGGTCTCAATACCAAGGGAGAGAGGTGTGACATCCAGCAAGAGGAGCTCCTTCACATCACCCCTCAAAATGCCACCCTGGATAGCAGCTCCCATGGCGACAGCCTCATCAGGATTGACACCCTTGCTTGGTGGCTTGTTGAATATCTGAGAAACAACCTCCTGGACCTTTGGTACTCTAGTCATACCACCAACCAGTAGAACCTCATCAATCTCCTTAGCGGAGATGCCAGCATCCTTGAGGCAGTTCACACAAGGGATGCGAGTCCTCTCGATGAGATTGCTCACAAGAAACTCAAACTTCGATCTGGTCAAGGTAATGTTGAAGTGCTTTGCACCAGAGGTATCAGCAGTGATAAACGGGAGGTTGATTTCAGTCTGCATAGTGGAGGAAAGCTCAACCTTGGCCTTCTCAGCAGCTTCCCTGAGCCTTTGCAGTGCTAACTTGTCCTTGCTCAGATCAATGTTGTCTGACTTCTTGAACTCGTTAACCAGATACTCAAGCAGTGCACCATCAAAGTCCTCACCACCAAGGAAAGTATCACCATTGGTTGCCTTGACCTGAACAAGGTGCCAGAATTAAGAATTATATACTACACCTATTTCAACATCTGCATATAGAATATGTACAAGATATGAGAAGAAAATTACCTCAAAAACTCCATTTGATATCTCAAGGATTGACACATCAAATGTGCCACCACCCAGGTCAAACACAGCGATAAGGCCCTCCTTGTTGTTCATTCCATATGACAAAGCTGCAGCAGTGGGCTCATTGATAATCCTCATAACCTCCAGTCCAGCAATCCTACCAGCATCCTTGGTAGCCTGGCGTTGAGCATCATTGAAATAAGCTGGGACAGTAATAACAGCCTTAGAGACCGTCTTGCCAAGGTAAGCCTCTGCAGTTTCCTTCATCTTAGTGAGAACAAATGCACCAATCTGGCTAGGGGAGTACTGCTGGCCACCCATCTCCACCCAGGCATCACCATTCGGTGCCTTGACAATATTGTAAGGCACCATCTTCATTTCCTTCTGGGTCTGCGGGTCATCAAAAGTCCTACCGATCAGACGCTTCGACCCACGGATTGTGTTCTGTGCATTGGTTACCGCCTGCCGGCTCGCGGTGATACCGATCAGCAGGTCACCATTCTGATTCTTGGCAACAATGGAGGGAGTTGTCCTCGCGCCTTCCGCATTTTCAATCACCCGTGGTGTCTACACAAGCAAAGTCATGCATCACTTCCTGACTACCAGCATCATAACCAGAACCAATTGAACATGTACTCAAATTGCAGCAATTTCAAGCCATGACATTAAGTACATATAGACAGCAGCTGACCCAAACCAATTTCAGCATTCAAGCATGACATCTAGTACAGATGGATACAACAAGATGGATACAACAACCCATTTAAAAATAACAGAATGTACTCAAATTGCAGCTATTTCAAGCCATGAATGATACAGCAACTGACCCAAACCAATTTAAGCATTAAAGCATGACATCTAGTACAGATGGATACAACAACCCATTTACAAATAACAGAATGTACTCAAATTGCAGCTATTTCAAGCCATGACATTAAGTGCATATTGATACAGCAGCTGACCCAAACCAATTTCAGCAATTCAAGCATTACATCTACTACAGATGGATACAACAACCCATTTACAAATAACAGAATACGGCAGATTTCAGAGTGAACAGGGGAAAAACACACCTTTCCTTCCATGACGGAGACGCAGGAATTCGTTGTGCCTAGATCGATACCGATGACATCGGCCGCGGCCGGCTTTGTGCTGCATGCAGAACATTCACTTGGGAAACAAATTGCCATGGATACGGACCTATTGATGACAACACATCTCGAGTTCCTAATTACCTGAGAAGACGAGCTACTGCTCCAAGCCTGGAGAGCAGAGGAGGCGCTGTCCGATGGGGCATGGGACCCTAATAAGATCGCAAAAGCAGAGAACAGATCAACACATCGGATGAACCCAAACATCATCAGAAGAACGCGCAACGCCACAAATTGGCCTTGACCAAGGCGCACGAACTGCAATCAAAGAACAGGTTCACGGGAACAGAGGTGGCGCAGACCTGGGCAACGGCGGATGCGAGGGTGCGGCCGGACCTGGCCAGCCTCGACGCGACGAGAGCTCCGAAGGCCATGGCTGGCACTAGGTCCTGGGCGCGGCTTCCGATGGCGGCTTGTGGGCGCGGCTTCCGACGGCGGCTTGTGGGCGCGGGAGGGAGGAGGAGGCGAGATCCGAAAAACCCTAGTGGGCGGCGGCGGCAGCGCTCCCTTCTCTTAAACCCCTCGCGGTCCGCGGCATTGGCTTGGAAGAGGGGAAAGAAACGGCGGCTAGGAGCATTTCTGTGATTCTCACCAGGACAAGTCTGTGGCTGACGGTGGGCCACGAGGCTGGGTGGAAGCTTCTAGACGGCATCAATCGGCCTCCGTCCGTTGGGCCTGGGCTTTTTCCAGACTCCAATCGTGCGCCGATCATATACCGTGGATAGATTCCCCTAAAATATATATATATATATATATATATATATACCGTGGATGGATTTTGCTAAAAAAAATATGTACCGTAGATAGATTATTATTATTATTTTCTTCTCTTTGCTTGGGGAAACGGTAACTGTGGCTATCCCTTTCTTGCTAGACAAACAACCACAACCACGACACTGTTGCGTAAATTAACTCTAGAGCATTTGAATAGAAGGGCTAATATGTGAGCTAATTTATTAGATAAGTCTTCACTTAGTAGTTGTTAGCCAACTAGCTAACCAATCATAACTAATTTAGCTAATTTTTAGCCCATCTATCTAGTCTCTAGACATGTGTATCAAACATGCCCTAAATAAGCATGTAGTATGGTACAAATAAGGCTCCGCTCGATAAGCCTATTTGATTGATGAAATAGTTCTTTTCCTTTTTTTTTTTTTAGCTTCACAAGCAATATACTTATGAAGTTGAAGGTGTTTTACAAAAAGTTTGATAAACAATTCTTATGGTAGAACCGTAGAATATAAAAGGGGCTGAGAGAAGCTAGTATTTTCAGCTCTATCCAATGTCTATTTCCTATGAGATCAGGTTATAAGAAGCTATTTTATTTTAACCTATTTAACAAAAATAGCTCCAAACAGCTTTCTAAAGTTTCTTGAGAAGCAGTGCCAATATGACACAATTAGTAAGTTTAGAGGGACTAAACATGTATTTTAAAAGTACTGAGATTTGAATGAGATTGTGGAACAAATATAAGGACCACTAAAGAAATTTCCTCATGTTTTATAATGGCCCCGAAATTCTTGGAAGCGGCTCTTCGGTGTTACATAGGGCATGATTGGTTGCTTTAGTGATGGGGAGCCGGGATGGAGAGCCGGTCCAGGATGGTGAGATGCATGCTCAAACCGTGTAGCCAATCGTGTGTCTTGTTGTTGGTCCAGTACGAAATGAGATATTGTTTGGTTGCATGCATGGATAAGAGCTTTGAGTGTGTGACACATGGCCCCTGTATCATGGGTGCATCGCGCCGTTATGCATCACGAGGGAAATGAGAATCGATAAGACGGAGTCGTACGGGATGGCGGAGGGCAAAGGAATGAAACGAAGCGGAAAAAGCTACGAGGCGGGAAACCAAGCATGACATAGGAATGATGTGAAGCAGAAAAAATGTGCAATGATGACCTAGTTCGGGTAACCAATCACCCCCTTATATATGATATGATTAGCTGAGCTCTGCTTGAAGTTGCAGTCTCAACTACCCGGAGAGCGGAGACTTTGGCAT